AACATTTGAAGTATATATATCGAAGAAAAACAAATAGGTATCAACTATGAAATAGTGATGTTGTTGGCAACGTTCAATAATAAAACCACATATAAAATTTCACTGAACTTTAAATTCTATAACAATGTTTTCTTGCAACTTTCTTTCATTCAACGAGGAGAAGTACGCTCGAGAATTTCGATGATTTTTCAAGGGAATCGGCTCACAACGTCAACATCACGATTGGATCGATTTGGATGGATCGCATTGGATGGATTCTTGTTATCTTGATATTATTAATAAAGGCGTATCGTGGATAGAAGAGATTCCCTCTTCGAGGGAAGATATTTTCGAGTGGGAAAATGATCCGGCGTCGGAGAGATCCCATGGAAATGTATCGGTTGCCAATTATGGAGACACGAGCAGAAGAGAAATAACGTTAGACGAGAAGAAGATCTCCTTAAGAGAAATCTCCCCATTGGAAAAATTCGAGGAGGATTGAAGAAACAATGAGCTCTCTCTCTCTCTCTCTCTCTTTCTCTCTATCTCTCTCTTTCTCTCTCTGTCAAAAAAGGTTAAATATTGACCCTGGTTCTCGTTAATCGTTCCCATCGAGACTCTGTGCGATCTCGAAGCACGGGATCCGTTTCGAGCGGGTTGATCCGGAGGAATTTAAATAGGGCGTGAAAGGATGCGACACGAGGAAATTTTGCGGCACGTTTCAAATTCTCGAGAGAGTTGTGAGAAGAGGTTGAGGATCGTTTGATTCGCTCTGCGAAATTTTCAGGTTTCTGTTCGAGGGGAGGAGAGGAGAAGGATCGAGGGAAAATGGTTGAAAAGGCGGCTAAACGCCGGCAGGAAGTGGAGATCGCGGCACGTAGACGTGGGGAAAAGAAGACGTTTGGAAAGACGACAGAGGACGGAGCAGGAAGTGGAACGACGCCGCCCCGGGCCGTATGCACGATTTTCTTCGCGAGTCGACAAAGGCGACCGGAATCGCGCTCCTTTCTGGGTTAAGTATATCCAGGGGAGGAGAGGGGGGAAAAGACTGCTACATTCCACCCGGAAGTCGAAGACTATCGGGTGAAAAGTGTAATCGAAAATGAATTTCCAGTCAATTCGATTGGAAATTCGATCGAAACTAAGGGGATAGGATAACGTGATAACGATTATTCTAAATTGTTCCTTTTTAAAATCTCCCTCGCGATTTCTTACGTTGACCAAATTATTATTTTTCTTTTATTTTCAATATTCAATTTTCAAATGAGGATGAGTGGCAATAAAGAAATTTGGTTCGCGTACGTATTCACGATTTTTGAAATATATCAATTCAATTATATAATGTCTGTGTAAAATCTTTTTTTTTTTCTTTGGAATATCTTAAATATTATTTATTATCAAGAAATCCAAAAATGGAAAGTCTCGTCGAAATGGTATCGAAGGAAATACGAGGTTATCGAATTAGAGAATGGTTGATGGATCGGTTGGGGGGAGGAAAATAATAGGATCGAAGGGATCGTTGAAATGCATTTCCTCTTCATCTTGTAAAATGTGCATCCTCCCTATGTACGGATAACCCGAGCGGACCTTGCAATTAACACAATTTCCGTGGAAATTCAGGCTCGAGTGGGCACCGAGACAGGGTTCCGATTTGCAGAACTGACCTATTTATCACGTTTTCGATTTCAGGTTCGGTGGAAACACTTCTGTTAACGGATGCCGATTCTTGCCGAGTTAAAGTCAAGTGTCATCGAGAAAAATAAGATCGAATAAGACAATTCAAAATGTATCGATCGAGTGAATATGAAATGCGTCGCGAAAATTTTACGCAAATTAAAATTTAGAGATACCTCTTGCAATCAATCGAAAATCGAAATCGAAAGTGATAATAGAAACTGTCGATGCAATTATCGGTCGAATTTATCACCATCTAATCAAACGTTACAATCAATCATAATGGTCTTCATACGTCTTGCGTAAGATCAATCGAGAGAATATTTATTAAAAGTAATTTCCGTTAATTATCATTTTATTAATTTAAAATCTTGTCTTCGATGAAACTTCGATTTCTAAGATTTACGAAATATATATTATTCCAACTTCGTCAATTTTGACAAGAATATTCAAAAAATCGAGCAACGATATATCAATTAATTATCTGAATAACATCGTGCCGAAACATTAATTCGATTTCAAAATTTAGAATCAATTTCCAATTTCGCAAGCTATCGTACCAGACACTTTTTTGACCAACGCAACGAAACAGAGAAGAAGACTAATTTATCCCTATATATATATCCTTATCAAAAAATCCTTAAAAAAAATATCAAGAACAAAGGATAAATTAAAATTACAAATTTAATATTATTTCGATAATTATAAAATTCTAAAAAGGAAAAAATAAAATCTTCGATTAATTAACTCCAAATGAAATTATTGTTAATACTAACCTATCGATCCTATTAATTACACAATTACAATTTGAAAAATTCAACCTACTGGAAGCAAAACTGGATAAATTCTCATACCTAAAATTAATGATACAAAATAATATTCTATAATTTAATATATATATATATACACTATCTCATCTTCACAAACACAAGAATATACGCGTTCCACATACGTACCATCCAACTCGTGTTATACCTGCGACACACAAGAGTTATTCTCTCCGTTTATTTCACCAGTGTGAGTCGAGCGCCACACACACACACACACACGCACGAGTGGGTGGCCCTCGCACAAGTGGCGCGCTAAAATTGGACGCGGACAGAGGGGAAGGTTTATTCAAATTACTCCGCTTCGACTCTTGGATTCGTAACAGGCGGCCGTTGGTTCGCGGCAGGAGAGTGAAACTCGGGATAAACGTGCACGCGACATTTCGAGCATTGATTCCGCGAAATTAAACGGAGCCCCGTCCCGTGGCCGAGGTTTAATGAAGCGCGAATCCTCTCGCGTCAATGGAGGAGAAGCCTCTTTCCCCTCTCAAAACCGGCATGATATTTCCAATCCAAGCCGCTTCTTTTCTCCCCCCTCCCTCTCCCTAACGCGTCCACGGGTTATTTCGAAAGAGTTATGAACTCGACACTCGGAGAAACCGAGCGCTCTGTGCAAAGGTAAAGGAGGCTTTAATCGAGTTTTAATCGAGCTTCTCTTCTTCCCGCGAAAATCGATTTACTTTATTGCCGGTGATTTGTCAAATATTTCAAATTTATTTGCTCGAGATATTATTATATAATCGAGGAGGATACGAGGGATAAGAGGAGTCGAAGAAAAGAAACATCAATGTTCAAGGATCTTACCGTGGTCTTCTCTAAACAACGAAGTAGATGATGATGCTGCAGTTCGAAGATATCCTCCTCCTTGTAATTGTCGTCCAGCTGAAGGCCGCTCTCCTGCGCGGCCAAACGCGCCTCGGCCGCCTTCTTTTTGCTCACGAAGGCCGCCCCGCTCGACGCTTTCGCGATCCTGATCCGTGCCAATCTTGCTTTCTGGAAGAAAAAACGGGGAAAGGGCAAATGTTAAGAAAATCGTATTATCGAAATCCGTCTCGACAATTTCGTCGCGACGTCCCTCCATTTGTAAAAAAAAGAAAAAAAAGGGAAAAAAAGACGGAAATCGGCGAAGGGAAATATTTAGATGTTGCCAAAATAAAATCGACAAACAACGGTCATCTTCACGGTCAACCTAGTTTCCCTCCGAGTTTTGGAAAGGGACCAAATAATCCAGAGTGGTGAAAGGGCTGAGAGGCTCGATCCCTCCTCCCTTCCTGTTCGAAGCTGTCAGAACAACAATGAGGGAGTTGAAGGGAGTTCAGGAGTGTTCAATCTTTCCAGGTCAAACGATAGGTTTAGAGACGAAATTGAAACGCGTTGAAACACCGTAATCATCATCAGACTAGCTCGCTTCGAGGAAAATCGGGCGAATTCGCGGCTTAGAAGAGGCGCATTAAATCTCAACAACGACAATGCATCGTGCTCGCCTGTTTTCTTTCTTTATTTCTTTCTTTCTTTTCTCTCCTCTTTTTTTCTTTCCTCGAGGCGATCTCTCCCGTTTCGCGCCGACGCTCGGTCAATTAAGCTTTTAGCGAGGATTTTTGCAGGAGGAAATTTACCGTGCGCACCGCCATTCAAATGCCGCAAATACGAGAAGACGGCGATCCCAAGCTTTAAACGCGTCCACGCCCATTTCCGCAACGATTATGCCCCGGCCGTTGGATTTTTCGCTTCTTGCACAGAGACATCGCGCGATACCTTGTTCAAACCAGCCATTTCAAACTTAGCGAGAACTTTTTCACACTTTTTCGGAGAAGCAAACCGATGAAATGAACCGATGAAAATCGCCTCTTTCCTCGATCCCATTTCAAATTTACAGCTATCTCAATTGAATAATTCGACGAGATAATCCGTATTGATAATCGCCAATGGAACAATGTGCTTCGCGCGATCTTGATTTCCAACGAGACAAGATTTCTAAGAAGTCTTATTCACTTTAATCCTTTATCGACGTGGAGAAAATATGATGATATAGGGATTTTGAGTAAACACCATTGTTGAATCAGTGGAATCGATGATTTCTCTTTTTTCTTTTGGATATCGTTAAAAACGTTGAAAGTTTCAAGATGGCCCGGTATTTCACGCGTGGCAAAATAACTGTTCGTTGGTCGGATAAATTTATTTTCATCGCGATTT